CCAGGAAACAGTTCACTGGCGGCCGCGACGAAACGTTCCACATTTGTTCAGGCTATTTAAACCAGTATGTCGGTATTCAGCAAATTCATATCATAACAAAAATAAAAAAAGGTATTCGGTACGAACCGGTATACCGCCCAGCACTAGTGTGGGGGGAACCGTAGAACACGGAGAAAACCCAAACAAGTACGAGGAGAACATGCAAACTCCGCACAGAAAGACCCTAGGTCCGAACCGGGGCTCAAACCCAGGACCTTCTTGCTGTGAGGCGTCGGTGCTAACCACTGAGTGCTGTGCTGCTGATGAACTGGAAYAATGAAAAAGAAGGAAACATTTGGGAGAGTCCAAAATCTTGAATTTTAACTTTCCCTACAAACMAAAGCAAAAATCAWGAACTGGTTGTACTAAACGGTTGAAAAGGCTTCATCAGAACTTTTGATCCATGCCTGCCTGGCTCTACTCTACTCACCTAAACACACCTTTCCTCCTCCCACTCTGTTTACAATCAACTGATTCAACTCACCTGAGAGACGCTGCATGTTAGCTGCCTCCTGCACATTGCTCCACACCAGATCGTTGGATAGCCTTCGCCTAGTGAATGTCCAGCATTTCTCCAAGCCTTGCCTTGTCTTCTTGGTTCTTGACTCCATCTTCTCCTGGATTTTTACCTTTTGTCTTGCCTTTGTCTATCCTGATCTCTGCCTTATGGACCATGAATCTCTTTCTGGACTTCAAACTTCACATTGAGGTRCTCTTTGGATTTGGTTTGTCCTCTCTGATCTCCTGTGCATGAATCCCGCTTGCTTCACAAAATCAGTCTTGGCCCTGTTCCCCTTTTTCCCCTATGGGTGTTAAAGATCCACATGACCATTCTGCTGACATCATCTTCAGTAGATGCTTACGGTGGCCTCGCTCGTTCAGGAGAACGTGAACCTTTCTCTCCACCCAAAGGTTAGGTGRCCCACCTTTAAAGTTCCTGCACCAGATCTTTAGTACCCTGTTCATAGACCTACTTGTCAGTCAGAGTTTGCAACTGAGGCTGCCCAAAGTTTTCTGACTCCCATTAAAGTTCTGCAGTTTACAAAATTGTTAAAACTGCTTTTGTGAAATTTCAAGTTCACTCCCCAGTTTCTCACAGAACTAACCCTCTTTAAAGACTCTTACCTTCATCATGAGAACAACTGTGTTGACAGCAATCATTATCATGATGGAGTACTCAAACGGAGCTGAGACGACAAACTTCCACATCCTGTACTGGAAGGACTGTGTGTCCTCAGGCATGTAGCGCGTCAGAGGCTTGGCGTTTATGGCAAAGTCAATACAAGCCCTCTGCAAAAAGATTCAGTCACAGTTTAATTTGCCGAAACCTTCAAGTATGTCAGACATTTGATGGCTTTTACCTCATTCTTTTCCAAGCTACACTCAGACAGAGCCTTGTCTCCTTGCTCCTGGAAGGTAATAATGATCAAAGCAACAAAGATGTTGACAAAGAAGAAAGGGAAGACCACAAAGTAGACCACATAGAAGATAGACATTTCTATTCGATAGCCTGGACTGGGGCCCTGGTCTTCAAAGGTGGCATCCACAGAGTGCTTCAAAACACTGGAAGGACAGAAATCAAGGAGTGAAATACACCGGTTTTAATGAAAGGGCAATAGCTWCAGAATTTTGTAAAAATAAATTAGTAAAACAAATTAAAACAATTAAAACTAATGACAATGCTAGATGTTAACTGTACATAATTGAACTAAATCATTAGGTCAGAGGTTCTCAAACTGGAGTCCCTGGACCCCCAGGGGTCCAGGAGTGGTATCTTGGGATCCTCAAAAAATTTCACTAACTTGTTAATTTGGTTTTTATTTTTAAAAATGCATGGAGAACAATGAACTAATAAACAAACATAAAAAGCTAAATAAAAAATATATTCCCATGGCATTTAGGGGTTGAAATGACAGTGCCACGTTAGTCACAAGAATGAACACAAATCCAGATGGAGGATGATTCGAAAATAAAACTATTTATTAAACAAAACGAGCTGACAGGACAACTAAAATAACAAAACACTAGGAGCCACAGGGCAACACTGAGGAYGAGACAGATGGACAAATCCATGTAATGATCCAGTAAGTATATGGAGGACATGACCAGTATTTATACAAAGAGAGGGAGAGAGGAAATGACAAACACCTGGAGGGAAGACTGATTGGTGATCACAGGCAGGTGAGGATGATTGAGAAATGGCATGGAAACAAGCTGAGGAGAACTGAAGGGTGGTGACACAAAGAGAAAACGGAACAACAGACAACACAGTCCTCACAGACAGTAAATTACCCTTTAAAAAAGCATGGGGTTTATGAGGGGATCCCTGGAATTTTTTGCCCATGTAAAGTTTGAGAACCCCTGTATTAAGTTATCTGCTGTAAAGTAACATYATTTAGGACTCCTCATCAAACTTACGTGGGCCAGCCCTCTCCCGTGGACACGGTGAAAAGAGTCAGGAATGCCCACAGCACGTTGTCATAGTGGAACTCGTATTTCTTCCACTCTCGGGGCATTGCTGCCACCTCATCTTTGTCGTAGTCTAGGAACTGTCCTCTGGAAGACATGAAGCAGTGACCGACATAAGGCTGGTATAACTTCTGACAATACTGCAATGGTTGATGAGAATGTTGTGGGGTTTAGACCGACTTGCAGTCCTTTTCCAAGGTTTTGGACTCATCGGTGCAATAGAAGAATTTGCCCTTGAATAGCTGAACTGCAATAACAGCAAAAATGAACATGAAGAGGATGTAAACGATGAGGATGTTCAGCACGTTCTTCAGAGAGTTGACCACGCAGTCAAACACCGCCTGAGGACACAGAGAAGACACATTTAACATCAGCGTAGTACTAACATGACTAGTAGCTCAGTAATTGCAAATAAAGTCTGTACTGTTGTACAGCTCTGCAGAAACATTGCTGGTGAGCAGACAGGCTTAAGGTCAACATTAAACTCTATCTACAATGGATTTATAAATTAAAAGTGGGGTCATCTACAACAGTGGTTCCCAAACTTTTCAGCTTTTGACCCACAAATACCATCAAGCAGAGTCCTGTGCCCCCAGCTGTTGTTGGTTGATAAACATCGTTTTCACATCAAATAAACAAGACTATAGTAATAATATTTATTACGCTCTTTTTGTCCATTGTAAGTACACTGACTTTACTCTTTTGTAACAACAAAGGCAAAAAAATGGTGTTAGTTGTTATTTCTTTGTGTAATTTATTCAGAAAATCTTTTCAGGACCTGACTTTGATGTTTCGGGATCCCACACTTTCATGTAAAGTTGGTTTTGATACATCCTGATGTGTGTGTGGAACCGGGAGAACACAACTTTTTTTGTGTGTTTATACATGATAAACCTGGTGGCTTTGCTGATGGTCATCAGATTTGTTGAGATCAATCATTTTTTGTTTCCTCAGGTTTGTTGTATTTGATTGTTTCCGTCATGTTCTTTTTCTTTGATTTGAGTATTTTGATGATTTTGGACAGTAATTTGCTGATGTTTGTATAGTTTGAGTTGTTACAATGACCTCCTTCCTATTATTTTATTCTTCAACAGTTTACAAGCACAATGCAGATAACAGGAAGAAAAAACATTTAGATCTGATTGTTTGAACTGTTTTAAAAATACTTTTCAAGAATTTGGATCCATAGTTTTAGTCAGTTCTGGATTTGAGATAAAAACTTGACCTTGTTATGGGAATAAAACGTTTGTTTTAATCCCAACAAACAAAAGTGAATCTGTGAACATGAATCAGGAAGTGTTAACTGAGCACAACCTTTAGTTTGGGCAGTCGTTTGATGGTCTTGAGAGGCCTGAGAACTCGTAGGACCCTCAGGGACTTAATGGTGCTGATATCTTTGCCTTTAGTCCCCCTGAAAACAGCAGAGTCAGTTAAACCACAGATCATGCAGTTMATAAAACATTTTCTTCCTCATTACATTTACAGAAACTATGTTTTGTGTTTAATGATAAAAGAAGAGTTGCAGGTGAACTTGAAGTGAGTCAAACTGAAATGTGTCAGGATGTGAAGGGAGTGTTCAGATCAGCTGTGTGGGAAACCAAATGGAACAAAGCTTTCAGGGAAA